GTCTCCGCTGAGGCCCGGGCGCGGTGGCCGGTGCGGGGCCGCGCCTGTTGCGGGCTCCCGGCCGACCCCTCCGGAGCCGGGCGGTCAGGGCCGCAGCCCAAGCGGCCTGGCCTCCCCCCCTCCACCCCGGCTTCTCCCGGCTTCTCGGCTCGGCCGGGCGCAGAGCCCTGCTCCCCCGGGCACCGGGAGGGTCCCGCGGGGGCCTGGGGACAGCCCGTACCGGGGGTGTGGGTGCGGGTGAGGCCACGGCGTGAGGAGCGGTGTCCCCATGTCCCCCCGCCGGGAGCGGGACGGCAGAGCTCGGCCGTGGGGCAGGACCCACCCGCGGCCCCCCTCTCCCCCGGAGCATCGCCGCCCCTCGAGTGGAACCCCTCCGGGGTGCACGGGTGGGAGTGGGGTTCGGTGACATCCTGCCACAGGACACCATCGCCTTCCTCTGCGCCCCTCGCACCCCCGCCATCGCCGCTGGGGTGGGTCACAGCTCGGCACCGGGACCCCGGCCTGCCAAGGAGACGGCCGTCACCTCCTCCTGGGCTCAGGGTTGTTTGTGGACACCCCCCCTGGCCACATCTCCCCGTACGGACGGGGGGCACCGTCCCACCAGGCTGCTCCTGGCCCAGGCTGCCCGGCCAGCGCTGAGATTTGTCCCCAAGCCACGGGTGGCAATGGAGAAGGGTCTGAGAGTTGCCTCGCCTGTGGAAGTCGCCGTTCAAAGCAGCGCTCCCGTGCACCGTCTGTCTCGTCAGGCGGGTTGGAAAGGCTCCTTTTTTATTATTTTTTGAAAAAGCAGTGGAGTCGCACCTCCTCCTCACACCTCCTCCTGCTGCTGCCACCGACAACAAACGTGGGGGACGGTGCGGTGACAAGGATATCCGCGCGGGAGAGCCGCCGTCCTGGGCTGACCCCGGAGGCTGCCACTGGGGCTCTGCTGGAGGGGCTACCCCGTGGCCGGGGAAGCCATGCCTGTCCCTCCTCCTCATCATCCTCATTCATCTCTAACGACACAGGCTGAAGCAACTTCTGCTCTGCTGGGAAGCTTTTTGTGATTTTCATGATGGTTTTTCTGTGGGAGTGCCTGGCTGGATCCCGGCCGTGGGACAGCAAGACCCCAGGGGAGCCGTGCAGCTCTGGGAGGGGACATTGGTCAGTGCTGGTGGGACAAGAGAAAAGCTTTTGGCTTGTGACAGAGGATACTCAGCCCATCGTCAACTCGCTGTGCCTTTCTCATCACTCCCTGCCCTTGTGCACCCTGCTCCTGTGTCCTTCCCCACCATGACGTCCAGCCACTCCAGCAGTGCCTGTCTCCACTGCGGTGAGGATGTGCCTGATGCCAGCAGAGCCCCACACGCCGACCCCCGGGTGCCCACAGCCCCGTCCCGCTGCCGGAGCCTCTGATTGCCAAAAGCGTCTCCTTCAAAGCCAGGTTGAAGACACCCATCCTCTTCCCAGCCGCAAAGTTCCCGGGATAGTTTTGAATTGGTAGAATCGTGGAATATCAGGTTGGAAGTGACCTCGAGGATCATCCGGTCCAACCTTTCATGGTAAAAGGATGGTGGCCCCGCACCCCATCTGGCTGAATCTTAAAAGCACCTAATCTTGGGGAAAACTTTTTCAGCATTTTATTAAAAAAGAGCTTTAAAATTAAAAGAAAAAAAGGCTAAGAAAACATCTTCTGAGCAGCACACGGACATCCCCTGCCTGGATCCGTGGTGTGGCTGAGCGGGCTTTGCCGTGGCGGTGCCGTGGGTGCCGTGGTCCCCCCTACCCGGGCTGATAAGAGCTCATGGGGAGCCAGCGGGGCTCCCCGGGGCGATAACGAGCGCTCGGTCCTTATCTGCTGGCACCCACACCCTCTGCGGAGGCGGAGATAACGGGGGGAGCTGCGGCCGGTGGCGTTGGAAGGGGAACACCGGGAGAGGAGCCGGAGGGTCATTCTCACCCAGGGTCCGTGCCTTGAGGGTAAAATCCCGGGGTGGGACCCGTGGGGAGGGGGCTGCTGCTGTAACCCTCTGGGTGTGCTCACCGGCCGGCAGCGCAGGATGCTCGTGGTGAGAGCTGGGAGGCTTTTGAGTGGTGTGAGCTAATGATGACGATGATAACTGCCCACTATAAAATAAGAAAAATGCCCGTAATAATAACACGGGGCCCTTGGAGGTGTGTGAGGCGGTGATGGGTCCCCCTCTTGTGGCGTGGCCGGGGTGGCAGCGTCTCCGTCACCGTGGCCGGGGTGCAGAGGGATGTTGGCCAGAGCTTTTCCCCTGCTCGGTGGCACTGGGGCTCGCAGCAATGGTTCAGGGAGCAGGTTTTCCCAGTTTAGGCTGGTCTCCTGGTTCCCTGGGGTGAGCGCAGGAGCGGGATGGGCACAGCGGTGTGTGAGGCGAGCTGGGGCAGGGACTCTCACCGGGAAGAAAGTCCCTAAATGGACCAGGGAAGTTGGAAGGGGAAAGAAACCCACCCCAGCCCGGTGAAAACCTGCCTGAAGGTAACGGGAAGTGAGAAGAGGGGGAACATCTGGGTCTGGCTCTTGCACCACTTCCGTGGTTGCCACCTCCGGCCGATGGTGGCTGAGACTCTCGTCCCCACTGCTGCTCCGGCAGCGCCGAAACCAGCAGTGCCCCGCGAGTGTCGGCTGCCCACCGGCCTCTTCCCTGCCTGGGGGGCTCCCCGTGTCTTGCCCCGGTGCTGGGGGGGGGTAAAGGCTGCGGTGCCCCCGTCCCCGGTGCCCCCGTCCCGCCCCGCCGGCCGCCTTTGATGCGGGTGAGTGGCAGGTCCATTGTGGCCCCTTTGTGCCTCCCTCGGTTCTCGGGGTCCGCACAAAACCTGCCATGGAAACCAAACCCAGGCGCTGCCCCAGGAAACCCGCAGGCGCAATTAGGAAATGCAGATATAAATGCAAATTTCCTGTGCCGCCTTCCAGGGCCTGGAAAGTTGTCCCTGGGCCACCAATGTCCCCGAGCCACTGGCGTCCCCAGTTGCAGGGATGGGGAAGGCATCGGGGCAGGGTTGGGCAGGCAGCGAGAAGTGGGGTGAGCCGTTTTTGGGGTGTCTTGGGCTCTTCTCCGGCCACCCCGTGCTCGATGGCGGGAGGAAGGGGGCACCTCAGCCCGCCCTGAGCGGTGACTCATAGGTGACAATATGACATTGATATTTATTTTTTTTCCATTCTCTCGGTTGCCCAGCGACAAACAAACAAACAAGTAGCTTAAAACCCAACCGAAGTGCTGCTCAGGAACTGTCCCCTCCCGCCGCGGGTGCTCCAGCGGGTCCCCGTCGCTGGCGGTTCTGCCTGTATCTTCTGGGGTTTGTTTTGGGGAGATAAATGTCTTTCTCGCATTCTGCAGCCGTGGTGGGTGAGCCCAGCCGAGGGAAGGCAGGATGCCCGCTTGCTGGTCAGGACCTGCCTCGCCAAAGAGCACCCAGAATAGATGGAAAAGGAGATAAAATCCACCCACAAGTAACTCCAGGAAGCACAAACGCTTCGGGTCTTCATTTCTAGGTGGTATTTTTGAGCAGTGGATGCTCTGGCTCTTCTGCAGGTCCCCAGAGGAGCGTGTGTGGGTGGAGTGGGGGTAATGGGGGTGAAGAGGATGGAGAGGAGGTTGAGGAAGGATGCTGATCTGAGCAATTCCCCTCCCTGGGAGGAAGCAATAATGGTTTTTTTCCCATCTGCTGGAGGAGCCGGGGAGATGAGGTTGGCACGTGAAGGGCATCGTCCACAGCAATAATCCCTGTGGGGAAGGACAGATCCTTTATGCGCTGATCTGAGCCCAGTCCAGGGCTATACTGCTTAAAACCAAGCATTTATTGATGGCTTTTATTTTTCCCAGCTGCAGCCCCTACATCCTTTCCCATCGGCGGCTGAAGCGGTGTGCGATGTGCGTCCCCATTAGTGGTGCTTTTCCCCCGGCCCCGGTCTGCTTTATTGCTGGGAAATGAGCTCTGGCTCCTGGAAGTGGTATTTCTTCCTCCTGCCTGACAGCTCGTCGATCCCTGCCCTCCCTGCCTTCCCCGGGGACGGCGCAGGCAGCAGGGCACGCAGGCATGCCGGCGATGGAAACCGAGCTTCAGCGGAGCGGGGGGAAAAGAGGCAGATCTTCTCTGGAAAATGGAGCGTGGCACATGGCTGGGTGGGTTGCAGGGACATTCAGGCTCAAAGCTGATTTTAATATTTGCCTCGGTCACAGAGTCAGTTATAGCTGGGCTGGGCATGGGCAGAGGGAGATGATGGATGGAGATGTCCCTCAGAGCCCCAGCTGCTTATAAAATCCTTGTGGCTTTCAACCTCCCGGGCTGGCAATTGCCACAGTCAGGTTGGTGCAAAGCAAATGGGAGGGGATGGCGGTGGGGTTGTACATCAATTAATTACACAAACTTAAAATTAATGAAAGATAAGCGAGATGGGGTTTTGAAGAAGAAGGTGACCCAGCTTGGTGGCCAGGCACGGCAAGGGAGCCACTGCAGGAAGAGCCACTGCTGGGGGGCTCTGGGGTTCCCTCCCCACCGAGAAGTGGGGCTGAGCTGGCGCAGAGCAGACCCTGCTGCTGAGCTTGAGTGGAGACAGAGAGCTTATCCAAGTGTTGGCCCGGCTTCAAATCCAGGTTAGCATCCCGTGAAATTTCCATGTAGAGCCGTGATGTGCTGCGACAGAGCAGAAGGAACGGAGCAAACTCAATACTTCAGCTTTTGAGGGCTTTTCTCTCCCCGGTGAGCTCTGCTGTGCCGGGGACGGAGGAGCCTGTTCTCGAGGCTGGAAATGCTTCTGCAGGAGGGGCCTGATGTATCGGCGTTAATTAAATATCTGTCCCTGGCGAGGTGTAGTGTTTCAAGCAGGTTCTCCTCTGCTGAGCAATGTCACCCAGCGTGAGGGAGGACAAAAGAGTGGGGCGATTACAGTGTGAGGCCGTGCCCTGGGACGACACGGGTATGGCAGCGCCCGAATTGCTGGCTGGGTGCTTCCGCGGGCCGGCTTGCATCAGCCATATGGCTTAGTGACTCATAAAAAAAAAAAAAAAAAAGAGCGAGCTGCTCCATTTGCAACTTAATTAGTCCCTTTCTTTTCCCCCAGTCTTGGCTCGCAGCGATCCCGACTGTGGGATCGCCGTGGGCTGAGCGGGGCTGCCGGTGCCGGGCTCATCCTGGATGCCAAGGGATGGGTGATCGTGCCGGGGGGCTGGCGTGGGCATCGGGCAGGGGCCTTTCTGCTGGCCTTATGCCATCCATCACTGCCGTGCCATCTAGCGAGGGGCTGGGGAGGAGGGAGAAGCAAGGGGTCCTGTTTGGGAGGGCAGAGGGGTGTTTTCTGCACCCAAAATACCCGTAGGACGGCCTCGGGGCTCCCTTGTCCTCTCCCCGGGGACACCTGAAGATGTGGGGATGGACGTGTGGGACCTTCCTGGCGGGTTTCACCTCTCTCGTGGTGTGGAAACCCAGGGACTTTCCTCCTCCTGGGCTGTGGTTTGGTGCCACGGGGACAGGGTTGCCAGCAGCCCATGCACTGATCACCTTTACATCTTTTTACCGGCCCCTAATGGCCAGGGGCCTGTCCTGGTAAATAATTCACCGTGTGCCCTCACTGAGAGTTTTACTCGACTAATTTTGTTTCCATAGAAACTTGTGGGATCTCGCTGCTCCGCGGAGCCTCGGGCAAATCAATACGGGTTGTTTTTAATTTATTTTTTTTCCTTTGCACGTTAAGCGATGGCCCTTAAACCCTGATGGCAGGAGAGCCATCACCTGTGTTGTCCCTGCCTGTCCCTGCCAGGATGCCCAGCTTCCTGGGATACCCTGGATCCTGCGGATCCTCACCCCGGGGCTCAGCCCCGTCTAATCCCAGTCCATTCCCAGTATGTTCCTGCTACGCAAAGAGCTGGAGGGGAAGGGGCTGCCTCTGCTCAGGCTCTTTCACTGTTTTTCCCCTCCTGTCCTTTAATTTCTTTGACCCTTGACCTCAAATGGCAAATTAGCATTTGTGAATCAGCCGCGCTAATTAGCTGGGGAGCGGGGATGGCCTTGTCCTCAGCCTGTGTTCACTTTCACCCGCCCTTCGTTAGGTGCTCGCTGACCAAATCTAACTCAAAAATCACCTGGATGTGGCTCCTCCATGTGCCCTGACCAGGACCTGGCCCCGGGGGGATCCGGGCACCTTTGTCTCTGCAGTGATTTTCTTTCTCTCCCCCGCGGTGTCCCGGTGTCTTTGTGCTGAGCCGGGAGCACAAAGGGAGAAGGGATAAGCAGTTAAGGATGGGTTTGTGTGACATATGGCGTCAGGGGTTTGCGTGACGGCTGCGGCCAGCGCCGGGGGGGACACGAGTGGGCACGGGGGGTGCCTGGGCTTCCCTCCTGCCAGGCTCGAGCTGTGGGGTAAACTGAGGCAGGGAGCTTGGTGGTGGGCTCGGGGCTTTCCGGCACCCCGACCTTGCTGCCATCGCGGGTGCCTTCGCTCCGGGCAGCCCTCGCTCCTCGGAGCCCTTTGAAACAAGCTCTAAGCTGATTTTTCAGCTGGGATGTGTGTGTTTTGATGTCGGCGGTGAAAGCCGGAGGAGGAAACGTCGCCGATGTTCAGCCACCTCGAGGAATAATCTTATATCGGCCCTCTGCTTTAGGCAACCTCTTATATTTAATTTATTACACGTTGATACGAGGCAGAGCTGAACAGAGATGCAGTTAAACCACACGAAGGGATGCTGGGTTACTTTAATCACTCACACTTGCTTGACCTATTTCTTTTTTTTTTTTTTTTTTTTTTAATCCCTTCCTGGAAACCTTATTTCATGTTTGAATTCCCTCAACTATTTTAGGAATGTCGTCCTACCAAGATCAAATTACCTTCAATGAAACCAGTGCAAGGCAGGCGACTTTTTGATTAAGATCTAGTGCTACCTCATTAATGGCAGCTTAGTTTGGGGCGGGGGGAGGCTGTAATTCTGGCATGGAAAACGTGTGAAAACCGGGGATTAGCGGCACAATGCCCAGGGGCAGGGGGGTGGCTCTGCCCTGGCTCAGCTGAGAGGGCTGGGGGCATCCTGGTGGTGCCGGGACCCCCTGGGAGTGGGCATCCCTACGGATCCTGCTGCATCCCGGCACCTGCAGGGGGAAGGTGGGTGTTTTGGGGGGGTGTGGGGTCCCCGGCAGAGCTTTGCCCGGCTTCTCTGTGCCAGCTGAGTGCCCCCACAAGGTTTTAGAGGGGTGCTGTTGGTTTATGAGCCGGCTGGGTGCTGTGGAGGGTTGACATCTGGTGGGCTCACAAAGGCACCCCATAAATCTGTCCGGGAGGATGGCACGGCCGACGGGCGAGCAGTGGGTGCCCCGAGGCAGCCACCACTTCTTCACTTCAACGTGGTTATGGTGCGTTGCAGCGTGCAGGTCTGGGCAGGGGCTCCCCAGTAAAACCATCAGGAGAGAGCGTTTGAGCGGTAATGCTGACGGTGCCCGGTGTCAGGACCAGAATGGCCCCAAAGGTCTCCCCGGTCCCCTCCCGGCTGCTCCCGGGGCTGTGGTCGCTCTTCTCGGAGCCCAGAGAGGTACGTGCTGCTCTCCAACAGGGCTCCCTTCTGCTCTCCTCCCTGATTGCTTTTTGCTTTGAGAAGGGCTTAAACCTGGCCATTTTAATACGTGGTAGAACGAGTATTAAAGGGGATCCTCAGGTGCTTATTTGTTTCTGTGAAAAGGGATTTGCTGGCAGGCAGTTTTCCCAGGGGATGGCGGGGAGGGGTGTGTGTGCATCCCCTGAGGCCGACAGAGAGGTGATGGAGGGGGTTTTGGAGAGGCTGCAAAGGCCCCATCCTGCACATCCCCAGGGTGTGCTCTGCCTTTCCGTTGGTTGGTAGACAGCACTGTTGATTTTTCTTCCCAATCATCCCGATTTCAATCCTATTATAGTCACACCATCAGCCACCGAGCAGTCACATTCCTGGACTTCTCACTCCTGTATCAAGCAAATCTGTGTCCTGCTCGGCAAATCTGCTCTGGCCAAAGCTCTTATTTCTAGTTTAACCTCCCCAGTTTTGAGATTTCCTGCGAGAGTCTTCCCTCCAGAAGCCGGGGCGCTGGCAGCCCTTGTCTCCAGATAATCCGGTGCCTGGAAATTCCTTCTGCTCGTCTGCTCTGTGTCCATCATCCCAGACATCACAGGCCTGGGCTCGCAGCCGCCGAGCGATGGGTGCCCTCGGGGAGCCCTGGGCTGGGGGGACAAGCGATCGATGATGGTGTCACCCTCCCCAAAATGAGGGTCGTGGCTCCGGAGTGTTTGTAGGATCTACAAACACAGCGTGGCAATAGCAGGGGGAAAAAGGGCTGGGCTGTTTTCGCGGTGTTTGAGCAATCCCATCTGCTGTCTGAGCTGCAGCAGACACTGGGGAAGGGAACATTCGCGTTTGCTCTCCGTGCCAAGGCTCTTCCCTGAGCTGCGAGGGCTGCGAGCCATCAGTCCCACTGCTTTTACAGCTGTTCAGCTCCTCCGTCGGGGCTGCCTGCTTTCCAGAGCCCAGCAACTGCTGTTTCCAGCATGACGTTACTGGTTCCGCCGACCCCTGGGATTATCCAGCTGCCGTTCCCGGATGGCTGAGGGCTGATGGCAGCCTCCTCCGTGCTTGCTCCCGGCTGGAGCTCACCCGAAGCGCCCGCAGCCTCTCAGGCCGTCCTTCAACATGAAAAATCCTTTTTTTTTGCAAGATATCAAGTGCCCCACGCCCAGGGCTGGGTGAAAACCAGCTTTGCAGAGGCAGGATGCCGGAGGACGTGCTCCCCCGGGCTGTGCTCGCCTTATCTGCCCCCCAATGGGCGTAATTAAGGGTTTCTCCGTGGCTGCTGAGGTTTTGTTCTTGGCTCTGGCTCAGGCGAGAGTGGATGTGAGTTGTGCAAGTGGCTCGGGCAGGAGAAAAAACAGGGAGCACCCATGGGCTCGCCGGGGTGAGCCTCCCCCCTTGTTTAGTCTTATTTTATGGTTTTTAAGTGGTGAGCTACTGGCAGGAGCTGGACCCAAAGGTGTGCCGGTGCCTGAGCGGTGAGAAAGTGGAGGTGGATACCTGTGGGAGAGCATCCTGTGCCATCCTGGCTACGTGGTGTCCCTGAGAGGGCTGTTTGTGGTGGGACCACCCTGTGTCCCACAGGAGCATCCGTTGGAGGGACCTGTGACACTGAGCTCAGCCCAGGGACCACTGCCCTGAGCTGGGGCTGCCATTTGGACTCCCTCACGGGGCTCAGCAGCACGCTCGGTGAAAGGAAACACATCCAGGATTACAAAAAAGCCACGGAGGAAGAGCGGAGCATCGTTCCCCCATCCTCTGGAGGTGTCGGCAGCTCCTCTGGGTGCTGTGGGGCCGGGCTGGCCCTTGGGGATGAGACCAGCATCGCAAAATAAACCTTCTGCCGGAGTCTGTGCCCAATTTCCCAGGTTTATAAGTGCGTTTTGCTCTCGGCAGCCTCTGGAAGCCCCTTGGAGAGGGGGCCGTGGCTGTCACACACGGCCTCGCTGCAGGCAGGGGAGAGCCCAGGTGACCTTCAGAGGTGACTGCTCCGCTTAATGGCTTTGAATCTGATTATACCCCCTTTCGCTAAGAAATGTGCTTGGCGTGTTCTTCTGCATTAAATACCATTTTAGGGACAGTCATCTTGAACCCTCCGCCTGCCGCTTAGGAAAAAGCCTTTGAAAATGATATTATGGATCAAAAGTGTTCCTGGGGTAATTCTGTTTCGACGGCGGAGTTAATCCAGCGCTGAATTTGGCCCTGCATTTCCAAACGAGAAGCAGTAGCTGTATAATCTGTTTATGGTTTTAAAGTGAATGTTAATCTTGGATTTGGTGGCTTTTCCCAAGGGTCGATTTGCTGAGTATTTCAGCCCCCTGCTCTGAAACTCTCCGAGCCCACGGTTTATTTTAAAGAGAGATTTTGCCGTGGTTTATACCTACATGTCAAACCTGGAAGCGTTAAATCTGGGGAGCCCTGGGCAGTGGAAATAATGGTGTTTTTCTTGCTTTGTGTTTTGTTTGTATGGCACCGGGCACGGTGTGTCCGAGCTCGGGGATGTGTCAAACCTGGAAACGTTAAATGTGGGGAGCCCTCTGCAGTGGAAGTAATGGCGTTTTTTCTTGTTTTGTGTTTTGTTTATATGACACCGGGCACGGTGTGTCCGAGCTCGGGGATGGGACAGTCCCGTGGGGACGTGGTCGGATGGGTTGAATTGAATCACAGAATCTTAGTGGTTGGAAGGGACCTCCGAGATCATCGAGTCCAACCACAAATGCAGTGTCCCCCGCTGAGACGGGGATCTAGGGGTACTTCTGCCCTGGAGCTGACATTCTCCCCTCTCTCTCCCCTCCGCAGGTGGGAGGATGCTGCAGCGTGCCGGGGGCTGACCCGCGGTGCCACCCCGGCTGCGGGGAGCGGGACCCCCCGCCGCCCGCCCCATGCTCCCCCACCGGGGCGGTGCCCCATGACCAGCGGCGGCGGGTGCCCGCCGGGACCCCAGCCGCCCTGCCACCCGCCCCGTGCCATCCGCCCCGCCATGACGAGCCTCTTCCGTCGGAGCAGCAGCAATGGCAGCTCACGTGGTGGTGGTGGCTCCTCCGCCCAGGAGCTCAACAACAGCCCCCCCG